TTGCCTCATTCATCAGTTCCCACGCCATAATTGTCGGGTCATTCTTGTAAACGACTCCAGTAATCGTGTTGCGTCTGTTAACAACAGACTGCAATAAACACACGAAACACACTTAAGCCGATTGGCATTGCTTCGAAACAGAGGAAAGCAGAACAATTTGCAGCATTATAGATACATTGAAGCATATAGTAAATAAAGAAAGTGAAAGGAAGAAAAAAAAAAAAAAGCTACTTACCCTTATATGATTCTTGTAAAAACTTTTGACTAAGGGGTTTGTAAAGAAATCATCGGAAGAGTAGAGATTTTGCCCTCTTCGTCTAGCCCAGTTGACATACTGTTTTTTGCCCCCGAAATCGTCAAAGTTGTTAACAAAGCTTAATATCAGCTTCATCCCATATCTCCTAGCTTCGGACACAACAAAATCGAGCCCCTTCACCGAAACAAACAAATAAGAAAAACTATGTTAAAATTCCAAAATAACCAAAAACTATGTTAAAAATTTGAAAAGAAGAAATGAAATAAGAAGAACAACCTTAAACATTTGTTCATTGTAAGAACCAGGGCTGATCTGTAAAGGTCTGTAAACGCCATCGCTAAAAGCCCAAGTTCTTGCAATGGTGAGTCCATGGCTGGCAGCTTGTCTTAAAGTAGCCGAGACATTGGGGCGTGAAGAAAGGTCCGAGGCCTCGTACATGAGCCAGTAAGCGTTAAAGCCGTTGGCGTAAAACGGGACGCCATTGAGCATGAAATGGATCCCATTTGTTCTGATGAAATCATCTCCATGGGCAAGAAGATAGTGACTTTGGAGTAAAAAGAAGAGAATTAAAGCCAGATGTTGCTTCATTTTTTTTTTGTTTTAATTTTTTGTTAATATATGTTTTGCTATTTTTTTTCCTAGTATGTTTGGTCGGTGTTTGAAGATCTTGGGCAGAATTATGGCTTGAATATAAATGAAGTGAAGCTTATGTTAATAATATAGATAGGGAGAGATAATTCTAAACATTCTAAGCTAAGATGGAGGCATGGCAATGCAAAGGAGGATAATTTCAAAAGGAGGGTGACATTTTTTTATCCTGAAGAATAGTAAAAATCAAAATAGTCCCACAAATTTAAAAATTTAATCAAAAGTACGACTTTTGGTACGATTTTCGGTTGAAAAGGCCACGTCGCGCAGAGGTGGCATTTTTTCTTGACACACTGGTAGTAGTCATCACACGTGGCATGCCACTATACCTATGGGACTAGTTTTGAAATTTCCCTATTTTCTATATTTTATGTTATTCTTTTGTTATACAAACTATATATATATATATATATATATACATATATATGTATATTAATAAACATATTATTAATTAAATATAAGACAAGCATTATGAATATATATAATTATTTATTATAACTACTTATAAAAAAAATCAATTATGAATAAGAATACAATATACATTAAAATGGAATTCGAAAATATTTTTAGTTACTTATATTTTGTGATGTGTTATTTTTAATAGTTATTCTTTTAGCTTATATTTAATATTAAAGTATTATAAAATTACTAAAAATAGATTTATTCATGATTTAATTATAGTTAACCTTTTTTACCATAATTTTCAGTTAATAATTAAAAAACTTCAAATAAAAAATTGAAAATGTGAATTTTCAATAATACATCATGTACAGTGATTCAAAAGTTTTTCTTAGCATTAATTATTCTTGTAACAATATTTGGGGTTGCGGATGCCGATTTTTTCAACTCGTATCATTTGTATTGGAAAAACTCTAAGGCGAAGATATTTACATGTATAGGTAAATACAGAATATAATCATTTTTTTCTTTTTTGGTTTGCTCGTGCCATTTGGAGTGACCATAAATAATTTTTGAAATATCATATTACATAAATTTATTATCAATATTTCTTAGAATTATTCTTTTTAATAGGTAACTTAAACATATAAATATTTGAAAAACTTTTGAAGCATTGCTCAATTGTTGAATTGATTTATTCCCGAATATCACATTTTAATCTATATCCATTTTTTTGGTAAATTTTAATTATTTAATAAAAATTATAGTAAAAAATATAACCATAATTATGCCATGAATAAAACTATATTTTTTTAATATTATAATAATTTAGTATTATAGTTAAAAAAATTGTTAACTATAAAATTATAAAAAATTACTAAATTTTTTATTGACTAATTATAAAATTAAAAAAGATAAATATATGTATCATGAATACAAATATTAGCTATAATTATGTCATGCGTAAAATAATTTTTGTAATTTTATAATAATTTATCATTATAGTTAACCTTTTTTACTAA